TTTTATAACCGAGCTCTACTTTCATCAAAATAATCTACGTAAGCACATCTACCTCAGCTAATTCAGCTACCATGTAAGCATAAGGAAAGAAAATGTTGTTACAGAGTATGGATGGCAGTTACTTTAGTCCTCCTATGTTGGAAAGCATGGAGTTTACTACGGGCGTCTATGACGAGGTGCAGTCCGAAGTACTATTCATGTATAAGGACGAGGAATGCCACTTACAATCAGATGGGCTGTCAGCTTGTTTGTTATTCTATATGTCGTCATCATCATCACCGTTGTCATCATCATCATCATCATAATGTCACTATTCCAATATTTATTCATGTAATAAAAAAAAAACTTTTTTTAATTTATCTCATACACAAAATATTTAATACAGATGAGTCACTAATAGAAATACGAGAACCGCAAATAATATATGGTATGCATGGAATTATGCATACAAAAGGAAATAATTAAAAAGGCAGTTGGTACATTGCATTGCAAGTATGGAAATGAATGTGATATCACAACTTTGAAATCATGACTAATTTACCAGTACGTGTTTTACATTTGCTTTTAATTTAACTCTAGATTTTAGGGTAAAAACGCATGAGGAACGAATCCAGTACATTTACTCGTAAGTCGGAATAGTAACCACTAAACCACGACTCTATCTTGTAATACCTAAGAGTTTATAAATTATTTATTATATTCAATTTATTAACAATAGATTGGAAGAAAATTTAATTTTCACTTAGTTTCCGCTTTCACTCGAACCTTGGAAGCACAACAAATGAATTCATCACTGAATTTTCCACAGAAACAAAGCCAGTATTTCAAGATTCCTTCACAGGCGCTTAAACTAAAATTGGCAAATTCACTTCACCGAGATCACTTGTAAACTTGTTATGGATGTACATGAACACAATTACTTGGAGCTTACCAGTGCCGCCGCGAATCTCGTTCCATTATGCCTAGATTATCTGTTATTACGCGGATTAACGGTTATATTAACTACGCTCCAATGGTTACAGGCTGGTCGGATTTAGAGCAAAATTAGCATGAAGTAGTACTAAAGTTGGGATATTATAGCGGAATGAACGTCTACAGCAAGTTATGACGGATAGTGGGGGAAAATTAGACTTTTCTTGAGGGAAATCCTCATATATCTTACAATTGATTAACGAATATATTACTACTGAACTTCAAGAACACAGGTGCGGATTCAAAGATGATAAACAGACAAGAACATGATGCGCTGTCTTAATTTGTAAAGGATGGATCAAAAAATAATGAGTATGAATGGAATGAAAAATATATAGGAAGCAAAATATATTTTAAATTGTAATATATAATTCTATGTAATATACAAACGAATATATGAGAAGAAAGTCTTTGTTATTACAGAGAAATAAGGTTATTTTTATAGTAAATTATACCCAGCATAGACACTGAAAATAGTACAGGATTATCAAACTTTTTCTAATTCTTTCCATTAGAATACTAAACAATATACATACGTACTATTAATTGTCATAAAATATTTAATAAAATAAAATTTGTTTAAGAATTTCCGACCTTAAATTGTACGTGTATAAGTGAAGGATATATAGTGGAGTTCACCAGTCTTTCCTACTTATGTCCTTTCAATATCCAATAGCATTTGACACAGGTATGTGCAGCTTTTACCCAAGCCATAGAAGACGTTACAGTAAACTAAAAACTTCTGCACATGTCACTGAAAATGAAAACCGAAAACTCTCAAATTGATTTTCAAACTAACAGAAATAAATCCAAGACGTATATTTGTAAAGAAAAGAAAAAATAAACGAACAAAAGTAAGTTAAATTGAAAAATTGCACAATTTGAGTCGGGTCAACCTGTGCATAGTTACTTAAATGAAAGCAATGAAAAACAACCCGCAATTCTGTTTCTAGGCCGAGTAAATTAATTATTTTCTTTTATGTTAACGCAAAACAATGAGAATTGTAAATGAAGGCAATTCCCTTTCTTTTTATATTTTCTATTTCGTATTCATTTAGAAATATCGGTGCTCAGCTATACAGAACGTTCTGTTAAATTGCTAATGTTTAAGCTTTTTATAGAACTCACAGACATCATAAATAAAAACAATCCAGGTAATCGTGCTATTCCAATAAAGGTGAGCACTTCAATCAATATCATTATATTAATACATGAAGCAAAAACTTTGTGTACCTTTTTACCACCTGTATTTTTAGCACCTGTATTTTGTGTAGAGGAGGCGACCATAATGCTAATTTATTTAAATGCATTATTTTTAAATCATCCACAAAATATACATTAAATCAATAAAAAAAAGCATGAACAATACATAGTAGTATGTGCTACTATGTATTAAATTAATGAAATGAAAATTAAATGTTTTCATTTAAATTTGATGATATTTATTCGGCAGATGTTAATAAAAAAAAACACATACACACTAAACAAAAAAAAAAACTCAAAACATTGCAAAATTAACAAAAAAAGTCCTTTACCATTTACAACATTATAAAATTACGTGTGTATGCGTGAGCAGGCATGTGTATGTGTGTCAAAGCATCCACCGAATAGGACCGTGCTCAGCATAATTTATTTATTTTAATTTTAATTCGGATTATATCCATATTGTGTTAGTAAAAAAACTTATAAAACTATGTTAGTAACTTATAATATACATATACGTAGATATATTTAATTCATATATCTGTGTCCACGTCCAGAAGCACTGGGTCCACAATGCAACGTTATCCAGTGCCTCTGGAGCGGACAATCAGGTATATTCGCAACAGTTTTTAGGATGCTGTTTGAGCTCCCCCGAATTCTAGACATCAGTGAAGCAGCTCTTTTACGCATTATGGCTTCAAATCCATCTACCCGCGCTGCTGCAAACATCTCTGATACGCTTCAGAACCGAGGGAGCCCCAACAACATCCTAAACCCATTATTATACTGTATACGAAGAGCGTTGTATGCCCTCTGCGTATACCCAAACCATAGGCCGCACGTGTAAAACGACTGATAATACGCTTTAAACAATGTTGTCTTCACGTCGTTATTACACCGTGCAAACCTACGGGCCAGCATATTACATCGGACCGACAACGCTCTTCGTTCCCTCTCTATGTCATAGTCATCATGCTGCAGCGGTTGTGGCGCTGCAACGCTGTTTTTCAGCACAAAACCTGGGGTGGTGTGTTGCTGTGTTCTACACGATTTAAGAAAATATATAATAAATTGACATAAATTAATATACATAAATACACATTTACCTAGAATAGACATAGTATACAAATAACAAGGAGAGAATAAATAGAAATACAGTCATACATGAGAGATATATGAATGGGAATCGTATACAGGCATAATTGTAGGTATAGATATTAAAAAAACTAGAACTTTATTATAAACTAGTTGATCCGGCGTACTTCGTAACGCCTAACAGAGAATTTTATTAGAAACACATGCACATTTTTTTTTCTTTATTCACTGTGCGACACTATTTATAGGTATAATAAAATACATTCAGAATTTGTGTCATATATCTATAGTGAGAGACACTTTCAAATATCGACATTATGGTGAACACAACACTTGACATGCACAAACTCTCCTGGGTATATTTAAACCTAACGTAGCAGGCTCGTCTCTAGCGTTTCGGATTCATATATTTGGAGTTTTCCTCATCGGATAATAATCATCATCTGCTTCTTCCTTATCCCATTTATTTGTGGTCGGCGTAATATGTTTTTCGCTTCCATTCATCCCTGTTCGCAGTCATCGCGTTATTTACTTCCTTTCTTACCATATCATCTTTCACACAGTCCATCCATTTCTTTTTTGGCCTTCCGCTGCCCTTATAACCATCCACATTCATTTGTAACATCTTTCTTAAAATATTATCCTCGTTCCTATGCATTACATGTCCATACCATGATAGACGATTACTCTTCAACCTCTCTGACACCGGTGCCACTTTCATACTTCCTCTAATGTATTCATTCTTTATCTTATCCATTCTTGTCACACCACACATCCACCTCAACATTCTCATTTCAGTTGCATGCAGTCGTCTTTCATCCATCGCCTTTACGGGCCAGCACTCTGATCCATACAAGACAGCAGGCCGGATCATGGTCTTGTAATTTTTCCCCTTAAGCTTAAGGAGAACACGCGGGTCACACGTCGTTGCCGTAACCTGCCGCCACTTCATCCATCCTGCGTTAATTCTATGCTTTATGGCCCTGTCTAATTCACCATTGCTTTGGAGGAGAGAACCTAGATACCGGATAATAATATATGTCACATATTTATTCATAATTTAATATCCACGCTCTTAGCAATGAACCTCTTGCCAGTTCTCAAGATCATCATCCTCTTTAAATGTTGATATGATATAACTCCAAGTTAGTCTTTAATTTTCTTCATATAACTATAATATCATTGATAATATATAATCTTAGTAATTAAAATATAAAATACATACAACATTGTTTAATATTACTTGGTCGACAATGCGCACGTGATACACCTGGTGTTTCAGGCGTCCATAGGCTTCGGTAACCATTTACTATCAATTGGTGTTATGGATCGGTGGACTTTTTTTTTTTTTTTTATTTGTTTCACTGACATTATTATTTTTTTTTTTTTTATTAACATGTATTGACTTCAGCTGCGATTTGATACAGCAGAAGTTTTCGTAGGGCTAGTTGTGTTTCACTAGGTGTTTATCATATATATTTATATAGATGACACACATACATATTTACATTATTTATATAATAAATAGTTTATGTTTATATATACATATATATATATGCTATTTTATATATAATATTATATTTTATGTATTTACGCATTTATAGTCTTATGTGTTATTTATCTTTTTTAAATTATTCACTATTGTTTTAGCAAGTGCATTATAAGAAGCCAGAGTCTCCGGCTTCGTAATGATACTGGTCAAATTGTAGGGGAGAGTCAATTGTATGCATTCAGCACACTTGTTCATGGTCGTAACGGGCTCTTCCAAAAATAGGACAATTATTGAAGAGATGTTCAAACGTTTGCTCACTGTTTCCATCACATGGGCAGTATGAATTGTCGGTGATATGAAAGCGCATGAGATAACTCTTGACGTATCCGTGTCCAGTGAGAACTTGACTGAGATGAAAGGAGCGTTCTGTTCTGGAGAAGAGGTCTCTTATATTGTTGAGATGGGGGAGGAGCTTCCTGGTGTGTGAGCCTTGCTCAGCAGACATATACCTCTTTTCCCACGTAAGGAGACTGTTTTTCTTATATAAAGCTTTAGCATACGACAGTGGAAACTTATGGTAATCAGGAGCTTTATGTAGGCGACAGGCCTCTCCAGCCGCCGCGTCTGCAGCCTCGTTGCCTACAATACCCACATGGCTTCTGACCCAAACAATGTTAATGGGATTGTTGGCATGATGAAGATCATTATGAATGCGTGAAACAATTGGATGGGTATTGCTGCGATTCTGAATGGCTTTGATTGATGACAGAGAATCAGAGTATATGACTGTATGTGAGTATTGGTGGGTAATTGCCCATTCACAGGCTCGGGATATTGCAAGCAACTCAGCCTGATACACACTGCAGCTAGAATGCAGCTTAAATTTCTTTCTAGTGACAGGCACAGTGGCTTCTGGGTTGCAACACACGAAAGCCGCTCCTACCTCCCCTGTGTCCTGTTTGCTGCCATCAGTGTATATGGCCACTGTGTCAGGTCTTACAAAGTCATTCGCCTTCTCCTGGTTATCAGCAAAATGGAGGGGGATGGTAACTCTAGACGCAGGGTGCAGTAGTTTGTGCACTGGGGTGGGCTTTTCTAGTGTTATATCCGTAGGTAAAAGATCAGTAGTACCCAATAGTCGGGTTCTTTCTACATTTGCTACTTCCCAGATTTTTAAATCTAGTGGAGTGAACTGCGCCAATGCTAGTGCGGCTATGGTCGATACAGTTCGAAATCCTTTTATAGCTTTGAGGGCAAAACCTCTTTGCACACTCTCTAGTGTCTTGCGGTTGCATCTTTTCTTGGCAGCGTGTCCCCAAATACCCGCAGCGTACGTGACTATTGGTTCAATAACCCCATGGTAAATAATATTTACATTTGCAGGATGCGCTCCCCAGGTCGGTCTTACGTACAAACATAATCGTTGGAATATACGCATGGCCTTGTCAGTAACATAGCGCACATGAGATCTGAACAAAAGCTTTTCATCGATAATTACTCCTAACAGCTTGATTTCCTTCGTAAATTCAAGGACTACGTTTTCCATTATAATTTTTGCAGATTTGGCCTTGGGAGTGAATCCTATCAGTTGTGTCTTTTTGGGACCAAAAGCAAGTTTAACAGGATCGGTGGACTGTATGGGTGTCTAAATGATGATAACAGTGTAGACTATGATAGTAAAATATATTTAAATACAGTTGCGAACTATCCAAAAGGCAATGAGAGAATTATTGAAATGTACAAAAAATATGACATATAAAAAGGAACTGTTCTAAAAATATATAGATTTCAAAATAAAAATAAAATCAAAGCATTTCAGCGGTCGGTCGCCAACAGTTGGGCCGTATGATTGTTTTCCACCATATGGTATAAATAAAACTATTTTTAAACTTTCGCGTTTGATTATAATTAATATAGTTTTTTTTTTTAATTAGATTTCAACAATATTAAAAATAGATATATTGAAAAAAAAAACAATAGATTAAAAAAAGAACAAAGCAAAAAGAAGGTTGCTTTATTGCTAACGCATTTGCGTTCATAGTAAAGAAAGAAATTTCTTTCAGACAATTGTAGGATAGTAAGTATTACTAAACTAGTTAAACGGGTATTAATAATTATTTAATGTTATTAACATCAATTTATGTCGTAATTAAGTTTGCGAGTTTCCATTAAATGTTTTAATGAGTTGTCCCAGTTATATCAATCAACAATGATAACCGGTTGATTGAAATGAAACCTTTTTTTATATTTTTTTTTCCACTTAAATTCGCTAAATAGGCTGCATGATAGAAAAAGTTTTTGTTGGAAATTGGAATGGATCCTTCATTCAGGGTTGATTTATGAAAAATTTGCTTAACGAGACGAGAAACGGTTTCCGTGAAATATTTTCAATACTGCTGCTTTAGACGGATTTTAATTAAAATAAAAAAAATATAACGATTCATTATCATAATGCGATTGTTAAGGAATCTGTAACAGTTAATTACCAATACTTATTCATTTTTCTTCCTTAATTATACGTAGCCAAGGCAAATATTGTTTACCTTATAAATTAATTGTAGTAAAGAAAACTTTTCGATATTCACCGTTATTATCTAGTGATATAAAACATAGACTACGACATATTACCAAATGTACACCAAACATTTTATAAGAAGCTGTTTCAGAGGAGTTCGATCATATTCACGTGATTGTTATATTATAGAACATATTAGCTGAGCCAGCGACTTCGCCGGCATGGAATAGTTACTAGATAGCATTTTTAATTATTTAAGTTATATATTTTCATCCCCTTATGGTGTTTATTCATATTAAAAAGTAGCCTATGTCCTTACTATATACTATATGCATCTATCTATCTACGAAACTAAAAAGGACATGCTCACATTTGACTCGGTTTATTTGATCTAAGTCCTAGTCTTCCAGATTTAGTTAGTTTATATTGTGTGTCTTACCATCATCTGCTTCTTCCGTATGCCATAGATTTTCTCCGTCATCCCTGTTCGCAGTTATGTCGTTATTTACTCCTATTTCTACCTAATATCAGCCTTAGCATCATAGAATAAATAGTAAGAAATTTAAATTAGCACATACACGTTGTGTTTACAACACAAAGTCTCTTGAACTCGTTACCTTTCCGTCGAAGGGTACGGTAATCGCTTAGGCCACGATAATTCTTAGATAGACTAAACTTCGAGGCTCTTCGGTGGACTCATAAAAATGAGTCTATCGAACAATCTTTATTTATACAAAAAAAAATTGACTAAAAATTCAATTTTTCTAAAACTGAGTATAAAAAACACGCACGGAACGAGCGAGTTAATCCATTACTGGCCGGCAGTCGACATCTCATTATGTAGTCATTACGGCGTGCCTGCTGCGATTTCGAGTCTAATCCGGCAATTTACTTGGCCCGCGCCGCGGACGGATTTCCGTGTACTCTCCCGAATTAATTGTTTTGCGCCCGTATTTTTTCAGGTAGGTGATGTTTTATTAGGGCCTCGTGGCTAGTGATGCCACGTGGGTTGAATTTTCCTTAAATTTGAGATGTGCAAGTGGACTTCTGAGGGGAAAAACTGAATAGGATAGGATGTCACGTGAGCGGATTTTCCCTTAAATTTGAGGAGAAGACGTGCACGTGGATATATGGGTAAATAAATAAGATGGGAGATTATACAGTGGTTTAGTATCACGTTTGTGCAAACCTAAAAAAAGCAATGCTGTGAACTAAAACAAACATGAAAACTAGAATAAACAGCCTAAAAAACGTAGGAAAAACGTAGTTTCTTTATCGGGGATATGTTAAGCACATTAAATATTTTAATTGTTGGCAATACTTTGTATTATTGATCTTACTAAACTATTGGTTTATTCACTTCCTTTATTATTTAACATGGTCTTTTTCTAATACACGTCATGCAAATCGCCAACCTTTTTATTAAAAAACCTTTCCATGTACCAAGACCTATCTGAATAGAGCCATTAAATTAGTCCTAAACTAGTCAGATATTACTCAAAATTTGAATATTAGGTGATTTTAATATTTAGGGAGAAAGTCAGTTTCGTCAGGCAATACTGATCGTTACCTAGAACTGTATTCTTCAAAAAGTATGTCGGTGTCAGCACACCGGTGTAATATCGTTATTAATTTGGGAAATTGGGATAACAAATCGATATCAACAAATGCTCCAAAAGGCCTTGAATCTACCGCAGTCTCTTAGATTATTGGGTTGGATATCTATGTTTCCTTTACTGAAAACTCAGTCAAAAATAATAATTATAGCCAATTTTTTTATTTAGTGACGGCCATGTTCAAACTTAATCTTCACCTGACAGCCGGTCAAAGTTTTTATTTTATATCGACCATGTCTGAACTTAACCTTTGTATGTAAGGCACACTTGCAAACTTCAGGATTGTAATATAACTGTCTAATCTTACTTTGATCAAATTTTGTGATTATAATGTAATTAATATTGTGGGAACCAGTCTGTTCAGACTACGAACACTGATTAGCCTTTTTGCTTTTGCAATAGCGTACGCTGGTGGTCACTATTCTCTCAAATTTGAATTTAAAAATGAATATGTATTATTGTAAACATGTATAACATTTATTTGAAAAGAATACGAGCTGAGTTTCTTATCAGTTCTTCTCATCTCGAAATCATTCCGAACTGACGGTAGATTTGACATAAGAGTTTGTAATAGACCTACATGAATAAAGATGTTTTGAATTTGAATTGGTATTGCGATAATTTATATTCTCCTTAATGCCTTAAAAAATACTCATGTACTTAGATAAGTAAAGTTTACAGGTTATAAAGAGAACGTGGCCAAGTATTGCAAGGTTGCCTTTATTGAGGTTATAAAGGCAGCCTTGCAATACTTGGCCTGAGAATGTATTTCCCCTCCACGTATAGAAGAAAAAATATTAGACAATATGACTTCTAACCAAGGAATTTATATGTCTAAATTCTTTGCTCCTTACTTTCAGGGACATGAAGAAACATACCGAAACTAAATCGTTTCCCTGTTTTGAGCTATATGCCATACATTATGTACGATGTAATATTATTTTCTTGTGAGAAAGGAAGGATCTTTGCGCGTGGAGCGATACAGATAATTCTGGATAGAAGAAGGTTACTCCGCTGGGAATAGGGGCGCTAAAATATTGCTACATTATATTTTTGTTTTGTTTTTATAAATGTCAAAACAATAGGAGTGAATTTGCTGAAGGCACTATAAAGCTCAAGATAACAGGCATTATAGCAAAGTCTTGTTTGTTTGTTCGTAATACTTTATTGTACAATAAAATTTTAAATAAAAGAACACTTAAAGAATAAATGCGTATAATGGCGGGCTTATTCCAAAAGAGGGATTTCTTCCAGTCAACCTTTGAGTGAGGAAGAGCAATTACGAAATGGTGGAAATAGTACAGTAAATAATACGCGCCACAATAAAATATAGATATAAATACATGAATTAACAATTATTCGCGTATTTTGTTCAATATCGACCCAAACTGGAATGCCAACCAATACACAAACACTGAGGAAGACCAATCAACTCTCAGACGTATTTCTGAATCTGTACGATATTTATTTATTGGATGATAACAGAATTGTGCCTTGAATCGAGAAAACCTCGGCAGGCAGTTCATTCCACAATCTAAGTGTACGCGGCAGGAAGCTGCTCTGAAACAGCACTGTCCTAGACCGCTTAGGTTTCAGCATGTGGGGATGAATTCCCTGTCGATGGTGAGCGGTGCGATGGTAAAAGGTACTATCGATCTATCTTGAATTTTGTGCACAAAATATAGATAAAACCACAATAACGAAGCAGGATTTTAGCGTCCTCATACGAAATATTACGTGTGACGTAGTTAGCGTGTACCGTAATTGAGAGGAGCACCAGAGCTTGTGAGATGCGGGGAATACTAATACGCGGCTTGCAACGATACCAACTATATATACTTATATAATACTAATAATTATTATTATTACTATGTTGCAATATGGCTTGAATCAATAGTAGTTCATGGACGGAAATCAATTCACACTTTTAAACGACGCCTAAAAAACTACTTCATGCAGGTACAAAAATCAATCTAGGCAAAAATACATTACCACTTTATATATCTTTATCTTTATATACCCTCTCCTGTATCTCTTTTATTTGACTGTATTTATATCTATTATCGCCTTGTCATTTGTGTACTATCTCTATTTTAGCTAAATGTGTATTTATGTATATTAATTTATATCAATTTATTATATATTTTCTTAAATCGTGTACAACACGGCAATACACCACCCCAGGTCTTGTGCTGAAAATCAGGGTTGCAGCGCTCCAGCCGCTGCAGCATCATGCTGAGCACGGACCTATTCAGTGGATGCTTCGACAGACATACACATGCACGCACACTCGCACATACGTAATTTGTGTACTGTTATTTGTTTGTAATTGTTCGCACTATTTGTTATTCTATTTTTTGTTTGTTTAATGTGTGTTTTAGTTTTCTACTGAATAAATATCATTTCATTTCATAT